GTCTCTTTTATGACAACCTTCTGCAAACAATTAGCCTCAAGATGGAGAACATGAGACTTTTTCTTAACAGTTTTCTGTCATTTCTTAACCATAAGGTCATCTTTGATGAGCTGGTATAGGGCAGCTGGACTCTACTTTCTAAACCCAGCATGTCACTTTTTTCCAGAGAGTTTTGTCAGTTTTGTCAGTTTTTGTCAGTGTGAAAATGGACTCATACATTACAACATACAAGTTACAACCTTCCCATTTCCCATGTTCAGTCTGACTCCTTTTTTTGCAGCTTAACTTGTTTTATAGAAGAGAAACTAAATGGGAGGAAATACATTATATACAGGCTTCTCTGATGCTTGGTCAGGATAAAAAATTAAAATGGGCTTCTATATGTTTGATGGAGGAAAAGACAAAATAGGGATGCCACATAATTGATTACCCTTTTAATGCAAGTGCCTCTTAATATTAGGCTTTTCTTAGCTGGGGCTGAACTCTCCCCTGCCAGTCTGAGCACCCCTTAAGAACACAGTCAGACTTCTTCCAGTTCTGGTGAGGTATGCAACATGTTATTAATTTCTTCTAGTTTTCCAGGGTTATCTAGTGTCCAGTCTTCATCTTCTCCCTGCCCTTCGAGTCCTGGCTTACATACATACCCCACTCTCGAAACATCCGAGCTTCACCAGAACAACACGCAGTGGGGCCTCATCAGCTGGCAAAGTTGAATGTTTGCCCTCTCTGGGAAGTGACAGATGATAATAGGGATACTATGTAGGTATACGTACCCCTTTCTATGTCCGAATTAGCCATATGCAAGGAAAGACTAAAACAGTTTTCAGAGGTTCCAGGAAAATTCGTAGACAAATTTAAGAGGCTAACTTTGATGTATAATCTGACCAGGCAAGATTTGCATATATATACGTTCGCCTGCTGCATGGTAGAAAAGCAGTGTATTATGGGAGTGGCTAGAACACATGCTAATAGGGTGGCAACCTGCAATCAGGGACATGACACCTATCAAGTAGGAGGCACAGCAGTGCCTGACTGGGACCCAAAAGAGAACTAGAATCTAGAAAAGAGAAATGAATTAGGAAGAAAGTGGGATATCTAGAGAAAAAATTATGATCATTTGACTTCTTGAAGGAATAAAAAAAAGTGTGATAATGCTTTTTAATTTTTATAAAGTCTGGAAAATTACTCAGGGAAAAGATGAAAACCTAGCCTTATTACAAGGGTGGATAATTTAGAGTTTGAGGAAATACACTAACACTGACCCTGACTCCAAGAAGGGACAGGCATTGCTAGGAGTTTATTTTATAGCTCAGTCTGCTTCTGATAGCTGCAGGAAACCACCAAAAGCAGCCTTAGCCTTCCAGACTCCCATGGATCAGACTTTAGACTTGGATTTTGCAGTTTTCCATCACAGGAATAGGGCAGAGAAAACATAAAATAAAGCAAATCTCCCAAGAGGCCCAGCTTCTAGCTGTAGCCTTGTGCTCTCCACTACTTCAGAGGCAGCCCCTTAACCCCTGGCCCTCGCAGAGGAAGTGAGAAGGTAAAAGTCCCAGTCCGTGCCTCTGGGCCGCTGTGCCTTGGATATCAATCAATGTGCCTTCTGTAAGAAGGTCGGCCACTGCCGAAGGAAATGCACTGTGCTTCCAAGGGAGCCATCATCAGAGCCCAGCAGACTCAAAAGTGGTAGGGCCTGATACTTTCTGCCTCCGCTCCCACTGGACTATTAGCTATCGAGAGATGAAGGAGGCTCAGGTGACTCTTGAAGTGGCAGGTAGGAGTATCAACTTCTTATTAGGTGCGGGAGCAGATGACTCCGTTCCTGATTCAATACAATGGACTCCTGTCTTCTCATGATGGACAAGCCCAAAAACACTGCTTTTTGCATCTTCTAATTTGTCTTCCAGGGGCTCTGGGTTTCTCACCTGCCTTTTTAGTACTGTCTGAATGCTTGACCTCTTACTGGGGAGAGGTTTATTGACTCAGACCAAGTCATGGTCACCTTCACAGGTCATAAAGCATAGAAAGTGTTACTTTTGTTCCTTATCCCTCAGGGGAAAAAAGAAGTTAAGAATGAGCTGTCACATTTACCACCTGAGGTGTTGTCTCAAGTAAATCTTCAGGTTTGGGCCACACGGGCTCCAGGAAATGCACTAAACATCTCCCCCATTCAAACCCAACTTCAGCCTAGTGCTCCTTGCCCTCGAGGATATATTTTTTATGTCTCAGAAATAAATAAATAAACCATGAGATCTCATGAGGCTTATTCACTGTCAACAAGAACAGCATGGGAAAGACCCATCCCCCGATTCGATTACCTCCCACTGGGTCCTTCCCACGATATATGGGAATTATGGGAGCTACAATTCAAGATAAGATTTGACTGGGGACACAGCCAAAGCATGTCACAGGTTATGAAACAAATTTATTTAGGAGGCCAGACTTAAGAGAGATGAATCCCTTGACCATCCAAAAGAAGAGTGGTTAACAGATGCAAGTTGTTTTATGCATCAGGAAAACAGGAGGGCTAGATATGCTGTTATTAGTCAGCACAAAAGACTCAAGGCACAAGCTTTGCTGGCCTCTACCTCAGCTCAAAAACTGAGTTAATTGAACTTACTAGGACCCTGCAGTTGGGAAAGGATTTAAAAGTTAAATACTTTACCAACTCCTCGACAATACATTTTAAGGCAAGAAGCATGAGGGGAAATTCAACTCCTTCTTACCAAATTCTTGCTGTACAAGTTACTAAGGCCATGAGAGTCTCCTTACAATACTCGCACGTCACCAGATGAAAAGGCTAATGGCATGAGTTACTAAGGCCATGAGAGTCTCCTTACAATACTCGCACATCACCAGATGAAAAGCCTAATGGTATGAGTTACTAAGGCCATGAGAGTCTCCTTACAATACTCGCACATCTGCAGATGAAAAGCCTAATGTTGTAGTTACTAAGGCCATAGAGTCTCATACAATACTCGCACATCACCAGATGAAAAGCCTAATGGTATGAGTTACTAAGGCCATGAGAGTCTCCTTACAATGCTAGCACATCCTTAGATGAAAGCCTATGTGGTACCAAGTTACTAGGCCATAGGAAGTCTCCTTTGTACCCACATCTGGAATGAAAACACAATGTTATGATTACTACAGGCCATGAGCCATCACCAGATGAAAAGCCTAATGGTATGAGTTACTAAGGCCATGAGCATCTCCTTACAATACTCGCACGTCATCAAATGAAAAGCCTAATGGCAAGTACAGATTTGTCAGAAGCCTTAGAGCATTAATAAATGCAGTTGTCTCCATACACCTCATTGTCCCCAGCACTTACCAAGTCCCAGGGGATGCAAGCTGGTTTACATTCTTAAATCTGAAAGACACATTTTTCTGCCTCTCAATGCATCCAGATTCATAATATGTTTGTCTTTGAATGGACTGATCCAGATAAGCATTCAGCCTCAAAACTAACCTGGATAGTCATCTCTTGAAAATGTTCTAGCTAAGGACTTAAGAAATCTACAGTTGGAAAGGGACACAATTATTAGTATGTAGGTGACTTGCTCATTGCTAGCCCAACTAAAGGAGACTCAAATAATAATACTGTTAAGTTGGTAAATTTCCTGGGAACTTGCAAATATAGGGTATCACCATACAGGGCTCAGATTTTGACTCAAAGACTTAAATATTTGGAACCTGTCTTAACCTCTGGAACTGATCAACATCCATAGAAGATAAAAAGTTATTTTAGTCGTCCAAGGATCCTAGTTCAACAAATGACTGTGGGTTTTTTTAGGAGATGGCTGGGTACTGTTGCTTATGGATGCCCAGATTTGGACATGTAGCCAAGCCTTTATATGATACACAAAAGGGAAAGATTTAGAGCTCCTAGAATGTAATTAGAACTGCAAGCAAACCTTCAACACTCTCAAGGAGAAACTGGACTCTGTTGCAGCCGTGGGAGTCCCCAGGTTGGATGAACAAGTTTTTCTTTATGTGGCCAAAAAACAAGGCATAGGCCTTGGGTAATCTTGTCCCAAAACTGGGGGACATTCCAAGGCCAGTAGCCTAATTTTCTAAGCAGATAGAAGAGGTGACCTCAGGGTGGCCTTGATGTCTTAGAGCTATTGCTGCTACCACTTTTCTAGTAGGCAAAGCTAATAAACTAACATTAGAACAGCACCTACAGGTTTTTGACCCCACAACAAGGGAAGATGGTCCTAGAAGCTAAAGGGCACCAGTGGATAATAGGAGAATATTTATGAAAGTATCAGGCCTTATTGGTAGACACTCCAGACACAACTCTTAAAGCCTGCCAAACCATAAACGCAGCTACTTACCTGCCAGAGTCCACAGGTGCTCCCAGCCTTTCCGTCATACAGGTTGTATTAGTCTGTTCTCATGCTGCTAATAAAGACATATCTGAGGCTGGGTAATTTATAAAGAAAAGAGGTTTAATTGACTCACAGTTGCACATGGTCGGGGAGGCCTCACACTCATGGCAGAAGGCAAATGAGGAGCAAAGTCACATCTCTTACATGGCAGCAGGCAAAAGAGCTTGTGTAGGGAAACTCCCCTTTATAAAACCATCAGCTGTAATTCCAGCACTTTGGGAGGCCAATTCAGTGGATGAGCTGAGGTGAGGGGATCGAGGCCAGCCTGGCCAACATGGTGAAACTTCGTCTATACTAAAAGTGCAAAAATTAGACAGGCATGGTGGTGGGTGCTGTAATCCCAGCTACTCGGGAGGCTGAGACAGGAGAATCACTTGAATCCAGGAGTAAGAGGTTGCAGTGAGCCAAGATCATGCTGCTGCACTCCAGCCTGAGCAACGGAGCAAGACTATGTCTCAAAAATAAATAAATAAATAAACCATCCAATCTCTTGAGGCTTATTCACTGTCACAAGAACAGCATGGAAAAGACCCATCCCCCGATTCGATTGCCTCCCACTGGGTCCCTCCCACGATATATGGGAATTATGGGAGCTAAAATTCAAGATAAGATTTGACTGGGGACACAGCCAAAGCATGTCACAAGTTATGAAACAAATTTATTTAGGAGGCCAGACTTAAGAGAGATGAATCCCTTGACCATCCAAAAGAAGAGTGGTTAACGGAGGCAAGTTGTTTTATGCATCAGGAAAACAGGAGGGCTAGATATGCTATTATTAGTCAACACAAAAGACTCAAGGCACAAGCTTTGCTGGCCTCTACTTCAGCTCAAAAACTGAGTTAATTGAACTTACTAGGTCCCTGCAGTTGGGAAAGGATTTACAAGTTAACATTTACACTGATTCCAAGTATGACTTTTTAGTGCTTCATGCTTATGCTGCAGTTTGGAATGGGTAGGGACTCCTGACCCCCAAGGGCTTTTCCATACAACAGCATTCAGATTTCGAGCTTGTTAGAATGCTGCTTTGCTGCCAGAAAGTGACTATAATTAATTGCAGAGGACATCAAAAGAGAGACTGACCATGTAAAAGGAAATGCCCTTGTAGATGCCATGGCCAAGTCCCCTACACTGAAAGGGCCAGTGAAGCTTATGGGCGTGCTGGTCAGCATGCATAGAACTGGGCCAGAATACTTTGAAGAACAAAAGTGGGCCAGGGATTGCATTTCAGTCCAGGGCCCCTCTGACTGGCAGAAGGATGGTAATAAATTACTAATGCCAAGTACCAATCATCGGAATATATTTCAGCACTTTCATGATTCTTTTCACCCTAGAAGGGATTCTTTGTTTTTGTTAATGTCTCATTTGTTTATAGGGGTAAATCTTTTCAAGACACTAAAACAGGTGACTCAGCACTGAGAGCTCTGTGCCTGACATGACCCAAACGGCCAGCAATTTTCTCCTTCTCCAGTTAAACCTGTCCAAAATTGAGGAACCTATCCAGGTGAGAACTGGCAATTCTAATTTACTCAGCTGCCTTTCTGCAGGAGATTCAAATATTTGCTAATGCTCACTGATACCTTCACTGGTTAGATCGAGGCATTCCCCACCCCATCTGAAAAATGTTTGCCAGAAGAAATAACTCCTCAGTTTGGGTCGTGTAAAAGCCTGCACAGTGACAATGGCCCATCTTTCACAGCAGGCGTATCCCAACACTTATCCTCAGCTTGAAGAATCCAGTATGACCTTCATTCTGCGTGGAGACCGCAGTCCTTTGGAAAGGTGAAAGATCTAATCCCACTCTAAAGAAGACTCTAGCCAAATCAGAGGCCTATCTCTAACACCCATCGCTTACTGTGGGTTTGAACTGCTCCAAAGTAAAGCTTATAATGAAGTCCTGTTGAGTTAACATACGGAAGGCCTTTCCTAACCACAGATCTCCTAATTGAGGAAAGGACTCATCAATTACAAAAAAATATGTCCTCAATCTAGGACAGGTGCAAGGCACTCTGTGAGTATGGAAACAAGAGTCCTCCCCTCCCACATGGGAGGAAAATTCAGTTTCAGTTCACCTAGGGATTTAGTCTTAGTAAAGACGTGGGAGAAAGTTCTCCAGCTGAGCAGCTTTCCCCAACGTGGAAAGGACCACAGCAGGGACACCTGAGCTCCCCAACACACGTTCAACGCCAAGGGATGCACAGGTGGATACACCTGTGTGGAAGTCAAGCTGCTGCTTATTCTGGGAGCCCAATGCGATGGTGGGGGAGGTGGGCGCGGGGCTATTTCAGCGTTGGCGGAGGGCAGGCTGGGTCACTGCGCGTCTGCTCCTCCTCCTCGCGTTTCTCCTGCCGCCCTAATACCGCCTTAGCCATGAGGGAGATCGTGCTCACGCAGGCCGGGCAGTGCGGGAACCAGATCGGCGCCAAGGTTGGCAGCGGGGCCTCTGAGGGCCCAGCTCGGGCCTGCGGGTGGCCAGGGAAGATGTTGGCAGTGGCAGGGGCGGCTCCCTGCCGGGGACGCGGCGGGACTGGGCGGCTGGCGAGGCGGCCGGGGTGGACCCAGGGACACGGCGGCCTAGGGATGGGGGTGCGGAGGGTGGGGGTGGGAGAGGAGCTGGGGTGCCCCCGTGACTCAGCCCTGGCCTGTCCGGCCCTTCCCGTCTCGCAGTTCTGGGAGGTGATCTCTGGTGAACACGCCATCGACTGCGCGGGCACCTACCACGGGGACAGCCGCCTGCAGCTGGAGCGCATCGACGTGTACTACAAGGAGGCCTGCGGTGAGATCCCCGACCTTCCCCACCGCCCTCCTGGGAACGCGGCCCTCCCCTCGCTCATGCTCTCCCGCCCCTCTCAGGTGGCAGGTACGTGCCCCGCTCTGTGCTCGTGGATCTGGAGCCGGGCACCATGGACTCTGTGCGCTCGGGGCCCTTCGGGCAGATCTTCAGGCCGGACAACTTCATCTTTGGTGAGCTGTTGGGGAGGACTGGGGTGAGGTTCCTCAGCCGCTCAAAATCTAGGAGTGCCCCAAGGTCATCGCCTTGGGAACTGTTCAGGGCCCCTGAACACCCTCCTATCCTCCGAGTCAAGTCGCTCCAACTGCTTCCTAAATGGGCTTTGGGAGGAAGGCCCAGGTGTCTCCTCAAGGTCAAGAGCTACTGATGTCAACTCCCTGCAGGGAGCTGAGCTGGGGCCGCGGCTACTGCCTTCCCTGCAAACGGGCAGGAGCCACCTGCAGCGAGGTCTGTTAGCCTGTCTCAGGTTTGACTCCTGACTTAATTTCTAACGGGAGGCTGCTGTCCTGTAACTCTGGGGGAGGGGTTTCATTTGCTCCACCTGCAGGGAGAAAGGTGCGCTCACCTCACGTGACACTTGGCCCTTTTTGCATTATGGTGACCACTGATGACCGTATACCTGGCCATCGAGTGACTGGCTGTACTGTCTTACAGGTCAGTGTGGGGCCGGAAACAACTGGGGCAAGGGGGACTACACGGAAGGCGCGGAGCTGATGGAGTCAGTGATGGACGTTGTCAGAAAGGCTGAGAGCTGTGACTGCCTGCAGGGATTCCAGCTGACCCACTCCCTGGGTGGGGGGACGGGGTCTGGGATGGGTACCCTTCTGCTCAGTAAGATCCGGGAGGAGTACCCAGACAGGATCATAAACACATTTAGCCTCCTGCCCTCGCCCAAGGTGGTGGAGCCCTACAACGCCACCCTCTCCGTCCACCAGCTCATAGAAAATGCAGACGAGACCTTCTGTATAGACAATGAAGCGTTATACGACATCTGTTCCAGGACCCTGAAACTGCCCACGCCCACCTACGGTGACCTGAACCACCTGGTGTCTACCACCATGAGCGGGGTCACCATGTGCCTGCGCTTCCCAGGCCAGCTGAATGCTGATCTGCGGAAGCTGGCCGTGAACATGGTCCCGTTTCCCGGCTGCATTTCTTCATGCCTGGGTTTGCCCCACTGACCAGCCGGGGCAGTCAGCAGTACCGGGCCCTGACGGTGGCTGAGCTGATGCCGCAGATGTTTGATGCTAGGAATATGATGGCCGCGTGTGACCCCCGTCATGGCCGCTACCTAACGGTGGCTGCCATTTTCAGGGGTCGCATGCCCATGAAGGAGGTGGATGAACAAATGTTCAACATTCAAAATAAGAACAGCAGCTACTTGGCTGACTGGCTCCCCCACAACGTCAAAACAGCCGTCTGTGACATCCCACCCCGGGGGCTAAAAATGTCAGCCACCTTCATTGGGAACAACACGGCCATCCAGGAACTCTTCAAGCGTGTCTCAGAGCAGTTTACAGCAATGTTCCGGCGCAAGGCCTTCCTCCACTGGTATACGGGCGAGGGGATGGATGAGATGGAATTTACGGAGGCGGAAAGCAACATGAACGACCTGGTTTCTCAGTATCAACAGTATCAGGATGCCATGGCTGAGGAGGAGGAGGAGGCCTAGAACTTTCCTTTCCTAGGTAAAGGGGGGAAGCAGTGTGGATTGTTTACTGTATTCTGACTGCCTTGTGTCACTACGCACTTGTTCGTTTGTCTTCACCTCTCCTGCTGCAATTTAAAGCATTTTTATAGTATACGATTTTGCCTAATAAAGTATTCTCATAGCATCTGGCTTCACCTCCAACTTCTTTCTATGGGCCCTCCGGCTATGGCTGCCAGATGTGCACGGTTGTCCTGCAAGGGTGAAGCTGTCTGGGTTTGTCTCGTGCCCAGGAACAAGCATTCCAGTGGCTCCAGGAGGGGTCGGCAGGGGCTGTGGACATGGCAGGCAGGCTTCACATGACCTTGGGGATGCCCTGGGCCTTGGGCGGCTATGTGGGGGAAAACCTGTTCTGAAGCCAAGCTTTGGCTTATCCCATGTTCCAGACTTCTAGGGGACCAGCTGCCCCTGTTTCTGGAACCCTAAAAGTGGTCAGTGACCCTGGTGTGCAATGTCCCCAAAGTCCCATCTCAGGGTAGGAATGTGATCAGGCAGCTGGCTCTGAACCAGCAAGGAAGGGTGGGCAAGTAGGACCCCAGCCACTCCATTACCATGACGGCCTGGGTGTGTTTGTGTGGCCTCATTCTCTTGAGGTGGGCTTGGGATATCTGGCAGGGACTAGTGGGCAGGAATCAAGCCCAGTGTATACTCACATGCACCGAACCCTATGTAGAAGGGGATTAGGTCCTGGGGGCCATAGATGGTGGTTGCTCAGCCTGTGTGCTCGGGGCAGTCTCTCCAGAGGCACAGATGGGGTTTCTGAGCAGGACCTGGGGAGATGAGCAGGTGCTCACAATGCTGCTTCCCCCAACTGGCAGCCAGTGGGAAAAACGCCGGAGTGGAGGTCTCACCTGCCCCAGTCTGGAGGGCTGATGCTCTCTGGAAAGGTGGCTAATGCGTACTGTCTGCTGTCTCCCTCTTCCCCTCTCCAAAACTTCAGGGCAAAAATAATCCAAGATTGTCAGGATGAGACTGGTGAGGGTGGCACCTTTGGGAATAGGCCCTTTAGCCTGGCAGAGTCTCCTCCCCAGGCTTCTCAGGGAGCCCGGACTTCAAAGCCTGCTTTGGGGAAGCTGTCATGTAAGAGAGGTGTGTGTGAGCTGGGTGCCGGGCAGCATGCACGGACGGTGCTCTTCTATCTGGCTCTTGTAGAACTTGTCCACGGCCTGTGTGATGGTCTCTTGGTAATTCCCACCCCCACCCCCATCACACAGATAAGATGAAGCCAGCATAGCCTGGGGGTGGGCCGAGGTATAGGTTCTACCCCAGGTCCCCTGGGCATACCCACCTGCCTCTGACGTGTCGGGGAAACAGGTGAGGCCCCTTTTTGTTCTCTGAATGTTGGCAATGGTCTATTGCAGCCAAATGGGAATGGGCAGGCAGGAGAGTGCCTCATCTTGAAAGAAGTGCCTCCTGGAAGCAGCTGGGAGCGGGGAGAGGTCCCCCATACTCCCCCCCAACCTGTTCTCAGAGCAGGAAAAGGGGCCTCTGTGACAGCCCTGCTCAGTGACTTTCACTGTCTCAGGGGTGTCCTTGCCCAACCCAGGCGCACACCCATCTGAGATGGCCTTGCATGGACCTAGTTGGGAAGGTTCAGCTACAGCAACCACTGGAACCTGCCTACACCTAGTGTCTCCACTCACGCATGGGGCTAGATGTTCCTCCCTCCTGTAGTGGTGCAGCCAGAGTGGCAGAGGGGGCAACTCACTGCTGCAGTTCCCACCTGGGTCTGAGTGGGGGTCAGCCTGGGTGCCCATGTATTTCCCAATTACCTTGTTTCATGAACAGGAGTGGTGCTTTTCCAGGCCTCTTTTCCATACGTCAGCTACAGGCCCAGGTTTCCCGTTTCTGGAGCCCCTCTTCCAGCCCGGCAAGCATGGTGTGTTGTAGGGGAAAGGACATCAAGCCTACAGGCAGTGGAACCTGTCTGGGTATGTTCTCTACCCCCCAGAGGCCCCTGGTGGTTTACTTTTTTGGGTGAGAGTTGGCTTAGATTCTCGACATTCTTGTAGGAGCCCAGGAGGCAGCAGGGGCTGGGACTGGCAGCAAACCAGTGTGGTGGGGGTTGTAGGGTTCAGTTTGGTCTTAAAGGAAATTCAGGGAGGCTTGGATTTGCTGAAGCTCTAGACAAGCTTGGGCTTGGATATGGAAACAGCAGGGAGCCGGGGCTCTTCTGCATGCTGGAGTCTGAGTATTTGCACCCTGGTGCACCCACAGGTGTTCCCCACCTGGAGCACAGCTGTGGACAGAAGATGGGAGAGCTGTGGAGGGAAGAGGAGGAGGAGGAGGGAGGCTCAGGGCAGCCCCAGCAGCCAGGCAGGGCCTCCACAAGCCAGAGGCAGATCCAGCCTGTTGGCTACTTAGCAGCTGCTGGGCCAGCTGCAGACCACCTGACCTCTGTTCACCAGTAAATGGGGGTTGCAGAAACACTTTCCTTCTGGGACTTCTGAAGCTCGAAGGGGCAGCACACACCACGTGCTGAGAAAGCACCGAACTCAGGCAAGCTTCTCCAAGAGCACCTCATCAGATTAGCATCCAACCTGTACAGGACGCCATCGAATCTCCCCATCCCTCATTCCAGCCAAAGAAACCAACCTGTACAGGACACCATCGAATCTCCCCATCCCTCATTCCAACTGAAGAAAAGGGAGTCTCTGTCCTAGGGGAGCGAGCACAGGCCTATCTATGCAGTGGGCACACGGCCCCGGTTGGGGAAAGGCCCTTGGATACATGCTGGTTTCACCAACCATCTGTGGGTTGGGTTTGGCCTGGACCCCTGTACCCCAGGAGGCCGGTAGCCCCCTGCATGGGACAGGACTGGGAGGTGGGTGGGATGGCTGAGCTTTGAGGGAAGCCATTATTTGGCCTCATGGGAAGTGGTGCAGGTGGTTATTATTGGCTCAGTTTTGCAGGACCTGGGTGATCACCCAAGGAGTGAAAATTGCCTTTTTATGAGAAATTGCCAAAGTTGATGCAAGCTCATCAGTTGAAAAGGTGAGTAATGTGGACAGCTGGCTTCACCTGCCCCTTCCCCACAAGCAACTCGTGTTCAGAGGTGGATTTGGTTCCTTCCCAGCCTTTCCCCTTTGCATGTAGCTGTGTGCATGTACTTTTGTGTGTACACACACGTTCCCTGGAGGGGTTACTTTTATTTTTTTATTTGGGAGCATAACTAGTGAGGCAGCCTGACACTTGCTTATCTTGTCTTTTAAGTGTGGAGTCCTCTATGGAGTGGGCACTGGGGACTTTCTAGCAGGCCTCTGCCAGCTGTTTGGCTGCCCCAGTTTCCGCCCTTCACAGACATGCTGGCCACCTGGTGTGACATTCAGTGGCCTTGTTTGCAGCTAGTATGATGAGACAAGTGGATCAGGTACGTTATAAAACTGAGAAAGCATTTCTCTGATGGCCAGTGATGATGAGCATTTTTTCATGTGTCTGTTGGCTGTATGAATATCTTCTTTTGAGAAATGTCTGTTCATATCCTTTGCCCACTTTTTGATGGGGTTGTTTGTTTTTTCCTTGTAAATTTGTTTGAGTTCTTTGTAGGTTCTGGATATTAGCCTTTGTCAGATGAGTAGATTGCAAAAATTTTCTCCCATTCTATAGGTTGCCTGTTCGCTCTGATGGTAGTTTCTTTTGCTGTGCAGAAGCTCTTTAGTTTAATGAGATCCCATTTGTCAATTTTGGCTTTTGCTGCCGTTGCTTTTGGTGTTTTAGACATGAAGTCTTTGCCCATGCCTATGTCCTGAATGGTACTACCTAGGTTTTCCTCTAGGGTTTTTATGGTTTTAGGTCTAACATTTAAGTCTCTAATCCATACCACAATGAGATACCATCTCACACCAGTTAGAATGGCGATCATTAAAAAGTCAGGAAACAACAGGTGCTGGAGAGGATGTGGAGAAATAGGAACACTTTTACACTGTTGGTGGGATTGTAAACTAGTTCAACCATATGGAAAACAGTATGGCGATTCCTCAAGGATCTAGAACTAGATGTACCATATGACCCAGCCATCCCATTACTGGGTATATACCCAAAGGATTATAAATCATGCTGCTATAAAGACACATGCACACGTATGTTTATTGCGGCACTATTCACAATAGCAAAGACTTGGAATCAACCCAAATGTCCATCAGTGACAGATTGGATGAAGAAAATGTGGCACATATACACCATGGAATACTATGCAGCCATAAAAAAGGATGAGTTTGTGTCCTTTGTAGGGACATGGATGCAGCTGGAAACCATCATTCTTAGCAAACTATCACAAGAACAGAAAACCAAACACCGCATGTTCTCACTCATAGGTGGGAACTGAACAATGAGATCACTTGGACTCGGGAAGGGGAACATCACACACCGGGGCCTATCATGGGGAGGGGGGAGGGGGGAGGGATTGCATTGGGAGTTATACCTGATGTAAATGACGAGTTGATGGGTGCTGACAAGTTGATGGGTGCGGCACAGCAACATGGCACAAGTATACATATGTAACAAACCTGCACGTTATGCACATGTACCCTAGAACTTAAAAGTATAATAATAATAAAAAATAAATTAAAAAAAAAAACTGAGAAAGCACACAACATGCAGAGGGAAAGGAATAATGACCATGTGTGTACTGCTCTGCTACAGTCCATGTCACATGACTGAGATGACAAACACTTTTTCACCTAACATTTGGGCCCTGAAAAAGGGCATTTATGTTTTACTTTTTATTTATAACAGAGTTAGAAGAAATACTGCCAGGCTTTCTTTTCCATTTTCCCCAACTCCCACTTTACCCCTCAAGTTTACCTACCTCAGAGAGAAAGCGGAGCTCGCCTGGTTAATGAGAGCCTGAATGATTTGAGCCAGGTCACTGTGTAAAGGTCATACGGCTTCTGTCTCCTTGTGTGTCATTTGCTCAGCTCAGATATTTCATAGCACACAGGTAGCTGTGTTACCCTCCTAGCCTGCTTTCTTGGTTTGATACATGCCTGAGAGCATGTGGGAGCACTTAAGGTCTAGGGTCATGGGAGGACTGTTCTGCCCAGCCCAGCTCATCTCTCCAGCTCAGCCTGCACGCATGCCTTCCTCCATCTGATTCCAGAGCAGGGGGTGGGAGGTCTCACACTGACCTCAATCTCAGCCTGCATGTGTGCCTTCCTCCATCTGATTCCAGAGCAGGGGATGGGAGGTCTCACACTGACCTCAATCTCAGCCTGCATGCATGCCTTCCTCCATCTGA